AAAAAGTACCAGTAATCAAAATAGTCGTTCATGTGAAAAATTATCTGAAGTAAGATTTCATTAATGACCATATTTTATAAGATTTTATCAACAATAATAAAGACTTATTTTAAATTTGTCTACTATTTTTTAAGATTTAAAACTCAATATCACATTAGTGACTTAATGCTCGAAACAAAGTCTTGGTATCTTTAGATCAAAAACTCATTATTAATCAATAGTCACTTTTTACTTTTCAAATAAAATGTAAATAACTTGTTTAAAAATTGTTTTAATTTAATTTCTCAATATTAGGGTTTTGCAGTGAGTTTTTGCTTAAAGCCAACAAGTGACGTGGTGTTTTTTTTATAAAATTATCATTTAAGACTAAGATATAATAGACTGGGAGCGAGCAGCTCATCAGTGGCCATGAATGTATGTACAAGAGGCAAGTGCGGGGGGCCACAATGAGGACACAGAGTTTACAATTTCATTGGTATAAAACACGGACTAAGAATAAATTCAGTGGCGCCGACACGGGTATCAACTGGGGAAAATTCCCCAGAACTATTTATTGTTTGGTCCGTTTTTTGATAATAAGTGATGATAATAATGACTATTAGTGGTATTTAATATTTAAACATCATCATAATTTTAAGTGTAAAGAATAGGCAATAATTTGACTGTCAAAATGTTCAGAAAAAAAGGAATCCACCAAAAAATGTAGTGGTTAGGTACCATTTTAAAAAATAAAGTCAATTTCATTATTGGTACAATTGCGTGTTTAAAAATGTAAAAAAGATACACACTGTATATTTTGTTACAATTATTAAATTACATTTATACAATAATATAAAGTCGTTAATATGTAATGATACAATTATTTTGAAGTTAAAGTTGAAATGGGGCCCACCAAGTGTATGGTGTCACGGGGCCCAATTGATCCTTAATCCGGGCTTGAGTGAATTAGTGTTAATATTAGATAATAGAAGTAATGATAACAGCAATCGTATAATGAACATAAAGATGTGTAACTACTGCACATGTGCTGTGTGCTTTGGTGCTTCATGGGACTCACCCATAGGTAACAACTACTATGTTCTGTTTATGATAATTACTCTATAACTACCATGGCTTAAATAAACAAAGTACCTACATATTGCACATAGCCTATATTGTTATCAAACAAAAATAAAGCAGCTTAAGGGTACAGTCCATATATTAATATAAAATATCATAGTTTAGCCAGTATAGGTCGTCACCTTACGCTGCCATTTTAATTCCTTAACGTAATAAAATGATATAGTGGGGGTACTATTGCAAGAACCTTGTATATTTATAGACCTATTACCTATAAACTAACGGACAGCGCATTTCACTCCGCCCTGCCCTCAATGCACGGGAATCATATAGGAGAAGGAAAGAAGAAAGGACGAAGAGAGAAAAGAGAGAAAGAACATAAAGTGGGATAATCATAGACCTATGAAACTAACACTGTATTTCCCCCACGTTCTCTTTTACTCTATATCGTAAACCTGACCTCTCTCTCTCTCTAAGCGCTGTCCATTAGTTTATAGGTCTATGATTTAAGCCATAACTACTACTATGTTCCATCTATAGGCTGGGAACACACTGTCCGGTTTTGCACAGAATTATAACAGCAGCGGTTGAAATACATCTTTTGAATTACTCTGTTAAGATGTTGGTAACGTGTATCCCTATTTGTTACAATATTATAAAAACGGAAACAATCCAGTGACCACGGACGACGGCCGTTCAAAGACTGAATCAAAGTGTTTTATGTATGGTATTGTCAGTTTCAGTATTGCACTTTGCTATGCTTTAAACATTATAATATTGTTATTTGACATTTTTCAAATAATTTATAATATTGATATAAAATATTTAATTGATAAAGTATACCACGTTTACCACGCCCCCCCCCCCCTGGAGACCGTCCTCAAGGCCACAGTTACTCAATTTGGCCATAACACACATTGTCTATACTATATTCTAAGACCGTGGTCTATACTCTGCTAGTATGCGCATCTCTTTCACCTCCAACCCATTTCATAGCTCTCCACTTCTCATTGGTTGATTTTGTTCTATATTACATATGTATGTATACGATTGATAGCCAGAATTAAAGAGCTGTGGATGCGAAAACTGTGATGATACCTATCTTATTTGTCATGCATTATACAAAATGAACCTTAGGTGTCACTAAGATTTGATCCAATAATTAATTAATACAACTTTTTTCTATTAATAACATTCATAAAAGCAATTGTTAAACTTTAATATTTATTATAATTTGCAATAATACTACTTTTATTTGTATCTCATTTTGAACTAAATAATAATTTCTACTTTCATTAAATGTAATAACTATTTAAAAAAAGAAAGTTCAATTTAATTTTATTACTTAAAATGAAAAAGCATGATCAAAATATTTAAATTTAAGTTTATAGTAAATAGTAAATTGCACATAATTTACATGTTTTTTATAATTGTATGCATTAACTAAATAAGTAATAACAACATTAAATACTTACATATTATTACCTAGGTTAGGTAAATTAATGAGCTTTTTTCTATTAAATATCAATTTTTTTTATATACCTAATACCTATACTCTGTTCAAAATAAGAAGCAACCCGGGTGACAACCAGATCTTTGCCAGATCGCTTGTTATGTTGACCAGAGTATAGTAACATACTATTTTACTATTTGAAATCAATTATAGAATTCTAAATGAAGGATCTTAAAGATTAAAATTACTCAACAATGATATTTTTTGACATTGGCCCTTCTAACACCAAGCCACAGAGCTATAAGAGTAAGTTTTAAAATAATAATTCAATATATTATTATTAATTTTTGAAGATATCTGATGACGATTACAAAGAAAAAAAGTGCAAGCGGCAAAAGAAAAGTAATGGGAGCAAATCCACCAACGATGATAACAATATGCAAATGAGTGAAAGTATATCTGAAGTAAGAGTAAAATGATATCTTTTGATGAACTTAGAATGACTATTAATAAATTCTATTTTTACCATTTATAAATATTACTTAATACAATTTTATTTTAAAAATTAAAAAAAAATGTCATTCTATAGCCAGACTAGCAATCAGTAAGAGATGAAAATCTATAATTTAACAACATATATTTTTAAAGGTATCTGATAGCGAACAAAAAAAGTATAAAAGACAAAAGAATAGTGGCAGATGCAGATCTACAAATTATGATAATAAAACAAAAATGAATGAAAGCTTATCTGAAGTAAGATTAAAATTGTTTTTTTTATGAACCATAATATTTTATTTAATAATTCTTGTTTATTCCTTGTTATTTACAATATAACAAAAATTTAAAAATATATGCTTAAACTATATTTTATTCAACTTAAAAATGTACTCGGTTGTTTCATCAGGTGGTAGTTAGTCAAAACTCAACACCTGTTTGTCACCCCATCTATAAACCGATTATGTTATGCACTAGTGCACAAGTTGGCCACCGAGTATAGTTCTTAATCTGAATAGAGTGTAGCCTATAAATAAGAAATTAAAATTAAAAATATAACAGTATACATTTTTAAAAGGTATCCGATGGAGAAAAAAAAAAATATAGACGACAAAAGCAAAGTGGCAAAAGCAAATCCATCAGTGATGATGATATGCATGTAAGTGGTTTGTCTGATGTAAGAGAAATATAATTTATTTATTTTAAATATTTATGGGCATTGCCCAATTACAGCATGTAGTAATAAATTGAAACATAACGAAAAGAAAAAAATATATATATAAATAATAATATAAAACATTTTTTATGATGATATAAAGAAGTAAAAAGAAAAATAATAATAATAAAAATATACTTATACATATGCTGTATAGTCTTACTTTTATCATGAGATTTTAGAAATATTATTATATAAATACTTTTTAAATTTCTAGAATTAGTACTTGATAAATATATATATTTAAAAATGTAAAAAATGCTTTATCTATATCCAGTCTATTAATAAGTGAACAATTTAAATAATAATTGTATCTGTATTTATTTTTGAAGATATCAAATGACTATGATAAAAAGCAAAAACGGCAAAATAAAAGAAGCAAAACCAAATCTACCAGTGATGATAAAAATTGTATGTCTGAAGTAAGAATAAAATACATTCTGTTATTACATGGTACTAACTAACCAATTTTCAATATACTAAGTTACTAAGGGTCTGTTTTACAATCATAGTTTAAACCTCGGTTACGCTGAACCTACTGATTTTGCCGGGCCGAAATCGGTGGTTTAACCTTAGTTTAACAATTGTAATACGGGCCCTAAAAGACGAGAAATTGAAAATTTAATTGTTATAATGTTTAAAATTTTAAATGTATCTAAAGATATGGAAATATAAATAAATCAAAACATTTACATAATGATATAAGTAGCGGAGAATCTCTCATCACTGATAGTAATAATCTGAGTATAAAGGTATATAATTAACTCTAAATTTATATCTCCAACCTGAAATTAATGTAATATTCTTTATTTTTAAATACCCTGTTATATTATATTAGTTGTTTTAAAAATATCTTAAATGTATGATAAAATAAACAGAACACTTATTTGCATGAGATAATAATTTTACTATGTGTACATTTTAAAGATATCAAGTGATGAACAAACATTTCAAAAACCTCAAAAGAAAAAAAAATTAAGAGACAAGGAAAAATCTGACCATAATATAGATGATAGTAGTTTGTGTGGAAGTTCGTCTGAAGTAAGAACAAAATTATAATCCCGTTAATAAACAATATAACAATTTGTTTTTTAAATATCTAAAATTAGACAATTAGATACAATATACATTTTTTTAAATAAGAAATACTTTATGTACAAGAGTATAACTATTATAAAATTATAATAAATAGGATATTAAAACAATTTTAATAATGTTCATTTTTTTTTGATGATGTTAAAGGATCAAGAAAGCCCAAATAAAGATAAAGAAAATCATATGTCAAATGCCAGAAGAAAATATGATCTCATTAACAGTAATACTAGTCTAAGTGAAAGTTGTTCAGCAGGAGTAAGAGTAAAAATAATATTCCTGTTTCATAAGATGAACTAATCAGTTAAATATTTAAGGATTCTTTGGAGGATTCCAGTTCTTTGTACTCATCTTCTTGTGATGAAGAACTTTCAATGCGTAAATATATGAGAAATATCAAAAAATCAACTCAACATATACGCTATGTAAGTATCTAGTTTTCTTATTTTTTATTTGTTTTTAATTTGTAAAATTGTTTTAAAACTATTTTATTTATATATTAAAGGAAACTTCACGTCATTTGAAACCTATAAAAGTTACTAAAATTAATTTGAAAACCCTTGATGAAGATTTATATCTTCGCTTAAGTCGAAAAATAATCTTGAAAAACTGTAGCAAGTACGTGTTAAATAAAAAATTATTATATCTAAATATATAAAATTTAATATTTTTATACTTTAAAACAGCGGTTTTCAACTTTTGTATATCATCGTACCACCTAAACAGTTTGAAAATTTGCATGTACCTACCATTTGACAAATTAATAACCTTTTTGTTTTGCTTATCAAAAATGTATACGTTATTTTACATTTTTACATATTGTATTGAATTTTATGGTTTTAGGAACTACAAAATTATGAACAATTAGGAATTTAATATAAAAAAATTAAATTTCATATTTACAATATTATTATCTATACTATTATTGATATAAAAATAATATTTAATGTGTACAGTACATTTTTTATAAAGGGAGATTTTCTTTGTGTATCCTATATGAGCTTTCCACGTGCCACAGGTCGAGAAAAACTGCTTTATTATACAAATAAACAACATTTTTATACTTAAATATAATTTTCTTAAACATCTTAGTTTATAAGTTTGAAATAGTATTAATGTTTCTTTTAAAAAATATATTGTTAATTGCTATTGATTCATAGAGTATCGTGTTCTTTTTTGACTTCTGATCAAAATTTGGTTATTGCTGGTTCAGTAGATGCTTTGATTTATTTATGGGAGAGAGATAATGAACAATCAGTATCAGAAGAATCTCATGATGTTCTACATACCATTGGAAATATAAATTCCAGCAATTTTGCATCATCAGTACAAGGAAACAATTTAGTTGAATAGTAAATAATTTTACCATATTTTAACCTGCCTTTATATACAAATTATTGGATTATTATTGTTTTTTAAGTTTTGAGAAAAGTAAAGCATTTATATTACGTGGACATGGTGGACCTATATTTGATTTAGCTGAATTGCCATCAGCTAAAATCCTGCTTAGTGCATCTGATGACAAAACCTACAGAGCTTGGGACTTGAGAACTAAACTGTGTATAGAAATATACAAGTGAGTTACTGTTGTTTTTAGTTGATAGAAAAATGCAATATTGTTTTTTTGCATCCCAGTAATAATTATAATATTGATATACGAAAATAATATTAATCAAAATAGAATTTAAAGTATTATACAAACAATATTACTACATAGTAAGACACTGTATTTGCCTCATTCATAACTGGAGAATTCATGTATAGTGTATACGTATCATTAATTAATTATTAAGTCATGAAATCCATAAGTACATTTTATTCTGTCATACATTTGTTAATTTTTGGTTTTTTGTTTCTTAATTTTTACAATATGATTATATTTTAGAATATAAATAATACAAATGTTGTTTTCATATTTTAAGTTTCTTACTAACCAACTAACCAATCAAAGGCTAGTAATCAAACATTTTGAAACTGATTCTGAAACTTATTTAAACTAATATTTAAAATAAACTATTTTTTGTAACTAAGGATCGTCTGGATCTTCCAATTATTAGCTGTAATATTAAAATCCTTATGTACTATATTATAAGAAAATATAAAAATTGTATTTCAACTGAGTACATGACTCCGCATTAATGTATAACAAAATTGAATGGTGGATATTTCCCCCCCCCCGGCTGTTTTCTGGGTAGTAGGACATCCCCCCCGTTACATTTTTGATGCGGACATTTCCCCCCCGTTTTTTTTTGTTTTTTTATTTTTAATTATTTACCTTCGAATATAAAATTATTATTTTTAACACATTTTTTTTAGCTTTTGTTTATATTTATTTATTTTATTTTTGTAAAACCTGTACGTTAACTAAAAAATCTTTAATCTTAATTTCAATAAAAGAATAATAAATAATATTTACAACAAGTTAAGTAAAAATATAGTTTTAAATAAAAATAAAATAGTATAGTATACTAATATTGAATTAGATGGGTAACATTGAAATCTAAAATTGTGTCCAAAACCCAGTCAATTACTAAGACTAACATTCTTATACAATCTTACATCGTCATGAGCATTGAGTCAATATTTTAAAGACTTCTGTTTTTAAAGACTATATGTATACAAAACAAAATAATCATTAATAACAAAATTAGATGGGTGTGTGTTGAAAAAAAAATAAAAATTGTAAAGGTAGTGTAACAACTCCTTCCAGACTTTTCGCAATAGAAACGTCAAATTTATCAAACAAATTCATTATATTTTGTTTATACAATCTTTTTTATTTTTATGTCGGATTTTTTGGCCAGCTGTATTGTACTATACTATATTATTTAGACAATCTTTTATTTAAAATTATATTTTTACTTAACTTGTTGTAATTAGTATTATTTATTATTTTTTTTATTGAAATTCACATTAAAGATTTTAAAGTTAAAGTTCAGTTTTTATAAAAATAAAAAAATAAATATGAACAAAAGCTAAAAATTATGTGTTAAAAATAATAATTTTATATTCGAAGGTAAATAATTAAAAAAAGAAAAACAAAGAAGGGTGGAAATGTCCGGATACCAACAAAATTAATGTCCAGAAAAAAAACATATTGAGTTAAATTTTGGTTTGTTTCCCTTGTACAATTATTCTTAGTGTCTTCTAAAAGAACTTTAACCATTCACTTTATTTTTTTAGTGAACATGAACATAGGACATGGTGTATTGCTGCCAGTCCATATAGCTTGCAAGTGGCCACAGGATCATGTGAGGGCGCTAGCTGTTTATGGTTTTTGAACTATAAACGTCCGTTAAGAATGTTTATGGGTCATCTCGATGATATTTTGGTATATTATAATATGATGTTAATCTTTTAATAGTTCATAATTAATATTACTTTTTTACAAATTATATTTCAGGTTCTAAAATTCCATCCAAATCAAGTGTTCTTAGCTACTGGTTCATCAGATAAAACTGTCAGAGTGTTTGAGCTAACAACTGGTGACTGTCATAGAGTTTTAATGGGACACACCGATTATATCACCTGTTTAGAATTTAATACTGAAAATTTTAATTATCTAGCATCCGCTGGTAAGTCCAAATTTTTTTTTGTAAGTGAAGGTTAGTTAGGTTGGGCAAGGTTTTTGGGGGAGCACTTATAATATTAGTTTTTAGACACAAACCTATTTTTTTTTATAAATAAAGCAATACCTATAAATGTAATGTTTTATGTATTTCATACTATTTTCATTTTGAGTAAGAAAAATTGGTCTATCCTACAATATTTCATATTTTCTGTATATAGTTTTGATTGTATCATTTTTAAATATTTGTTTTTAGCTGGTAACGGAGAAATAATAGTATGGGATGTGCCATCTGGTGAAATAGTATGGAGAATTGGAGTTGGTAAAGTGTTATTTTCGGATCTGGTGTGGATAACAAAAGATGTATTATTAGCTTCATTGACTACTGGTGTTGTCTTAAAATGTGACACTACACTGTAAGTAAAACATTTTTTTTTTAAATTAGTTATACATATACGGGAGCGCGTAAAATAGCCGAAAATATTTCAGCCGACCCGTATTTTGGCCGAAAAATATTTCAGCCGAAAAATAATTGATTGGACAAGTATATTAGCAGAACCGTATTTTAGCCGACAAATATTTCAGCCGACAGTATTTTATCCGACAAATATTACCACCGACCGTATTTTAGCCGACAAATATTTTGGCCGAACCGTATTTCAGCCGACAGTATTTTAGCCGACCGTATTTTATCCGACAAATATTACCGCCGACCGTATTTTGGACGACAATTTATTTATTGTTCTTTGTTATCACTTATAGGCAACCGCGTACCTGAACCATGGTTCAATTTTGCTGGTTATATTTTATCAACAAAATTATTTATTTTTTATCATAAAAATCACAATATTATTTATTTTAACAAAATATAGTATAACGAGTTGGGGACAGTTGTCTGAAAAATGATAAGGACCCGGGTCGAATATTTAAAATCCTAACTACTGCTTATAAAATATAACTACAGGTTAGCAATACTAACTTAAAAATAAAAAGTTATAAAAAGCATATAAATTAATATAATAATTGCTTAAGCTGTATACAACCGATCATTAGTACCTACCTAATACCTATTATTGTAACATCTTATAATACGTGTTTTGGGTATAAGTGTATAACATTTAATTTTAAACTTTTAATTAATTAATTTAATTCTGATTGTATCAAATTTGTAATATTTGTGTTTTTAGACGGCTTATTATGCATAAATTCCTATTACTACTACACTACCACCATACTAATTTGCAGACCGTACTTATAATGCCACAGCCCACAAGTGTAGAACAAATTTGAAATGTTTCCCTCCTACAGATTTTTTACTGTTACTAAAATAAACATTATTATTTATATGTAATATTATACCCACTCAGCACTCAATATTTTATAATTGGCAAGTTTTAATACTACCTATATTAATTAAACAAACAAATCTGAATTCTTTCAGTACACACTATATACTATATTAATAACTATCAGGCACAGCATTAGAATTTTTTTCAGGGGGTTCTGAGTGGTTCAGATACATTTTGTACATGAACAACAACAGACTGGTTTTTTCATAAGCTACAGTGATTACTTAGATAGTTAGATAAATAATTTAATTTATTTTAACACAACATAGGTAGAGTAGCACACATTTATTTTTTTTAAAACACTCAGTACTTTTTATCATAGTATAAGAAATTATTATTCCTTATACTATGGTTTTAATTTTTACATTCTAAGTTCTAAATGGATAGTATGTATGAACTTTTCATTAATTAAAAATGTTTAAATAATACTACCTATATTGCTATATATTTATATAATGTTTTTTTCTTAACTTGATCTATAATGGTGATGATGTATTTAACTTCCATCTTATTATTGAACATTAAGAATATGGTAAGTACTAAGTAGTATTGGATAAAATACTGCATATCTATTTAAAGCTTACAATAAATTAAGTATTGACTAAAATATATTTAGTTGGTAATCGATTTAGTGTTGTACACTGTCTAGTCAAATAGTATATACAAATTATAAAAAACAAATCAGTATGCATTATTCATCATTAATCATTATATTTATTATGTTAAGTGTTAACTCAATCAAATTGTCCATTTTTATATCATTTAATCATCGATCATGATTATGCGGTACCTATATGATATTGAAAAAAAAAGGTAAGTTTATTGCATATTATAACAATTATATTAAAATTCTAACTTTTTGATGAAACGAGTTATTCTAATTGACATTCTAAACTTTGAAAATATCAATTATGTAATTATTGTGATTATATGTGTAAGTGTATTTACAACTGCATGTGGTATAACTTAATGACATTTTTTCAAGGGTAAACCTAGAAGTTGAAGTTAGATGCCCATTTTGTTCATTACTCGTAAACCACCATGTGGAAACCGTTTTTCAGAAGAAGTTTTTCCAAACAGAATAATCTCCTAGATGACTTATTTGGTACATGCATACACCAGTTCCTGTATTTCGCTGACTAAAATTTAAAAAAAACAACAATATTAATTAAATTATTTTGAAAATTGTATTAATTTAAAGGCTCAATATGAAATTAAAAATCAATGTAGTAAAATAGTAACCATTAACCAACCAACATCATGCTTAGTCCCAACACATAGTTTGTTCCAATATAATATAGCAAACATCCTTGTGTTATAGTTGTGAACCTATAGCGTACATACATGTGTTATTTAAAATCTATCTTCGCTCCTTCAAGGTTTGATAAAGATAGGTCTTAAATTGAATGATTTAGGTTTTCCATATAATACGAATTTGAAAAACCGATCTAAAAGCCTAAATCATTCAATGAATCTCCTATCTTTATGAAACCTTCAAGGATCGATGCAGAAGAGTACCTAGATCATTTGCCAGCAAGTAAAAGTTTTTTATCTCAATTATTAAGTAGGTAAATTACGTATTCAAAAAAAAATTGGCGGGAAATTTTGTTTTGATAATTTCTCAAAATTAAATACGAGACACGGTTTTTTTTGAGAACATAAATTTGATCTAGAGGTGTCAATACATTGAACCTCGAAGATTTCAAGACGATACAACCCAAATTGAAGGAACTATTACTTCAAAATATACATCCAATTTTGTGTTGTTAGCTCAAATATATATTAGAGTGAATTGACCTATTATTTTATAGTTTTTAATATTTTGTTTTTATATACCTACCTATCGATTTACATTTATAAATAATGAGCTACACTCCTACTAAAAAAAATGCGAAAAAAAGTTTAAAATAATTATAACTTAAAACGTTATACAGACGTATACCATAAGGAAACGTCTGGTTATACGAATAATATCACTTATTGTATTTTTCAACTTTTTGCTACTCCGATTACGGGCGAAATAATGGTCGTACGTGTTTCAACTATAGACCATTTTTTAATCCTCGTATACCAAAAGACCAGAATCTCGAGTTTCATAGTGATCAAACGAAAACCCCAAATCCATAATACACGTAACTACGTAATTTTTTAAGTACAAAAAACTCTCGAAAAATCATAACTCCCGAACCAAAAGTCGGATAACCTCGATCTCGGTACCCATCGATTCGGCGTCAAGTCCTCTATAACATCCAACTAGCCGCGGCCAAAATCTAAGTGTCTGTGCCAAATAACCAGAAGAACGTAAATTTTGAACTTTTGAAGCTCCAAAAGATAGAGAAAAACGGATCCTATGGTCTCGACACAAGACGCCGAATTTGATCACCGACCTCCAAACTATATAAATCTCGAGTTTCAGAAACGTCGTACAAAAACTAAACCTTTTCCAAAATATACCTAGGGGGGTGGTAGAGGACCCCCGACTCTGAGAGTACGTTTTAGAAGAGCTTAAACCGAACGTTTGGGAACTTAAAAGTATAATATTATCTTATGTGAACGTCAACTACAACTTATAAATGATTTATTGAACTTTAAAAACTATTACATATTAACATACGTTTGTTCGCATTTGGTAACAAATTACGCCAGCAGCATATAACATTCTATGCCAGTAGTTTTTCCAGAAGTAGACAGTAGTTACCTATTCATATAATCACATCGTTAATATATCTATTTAAGGGTGTTAAACATGAACGATTGTTTAAATAATTGATGAACTTTAAAATTCAATCATCAGAGTTAATGATGTAGGTATATTGTATACGTCTCGAAAATGATTATAATTAAATGTATTTTGTTATAATACTATAATATGACATGTCTTGAAATTTACTAACGCTGGACAATAGGTATAAACGTATAATAAATTAGTAATTTACAGATGTATATTATAATATTAGGTAAAAACTCTATTAAGAACTATTGTGGTCGTCTGTGGATGAGATTAATCCCACATAGGAGAACGAGAAATGGTGAAATCTAAGGTTTACCGATAGATAATTTTATGGAGATTCCATTTAAATGGTCGGTATAACGAATTTTTCAGTAGTTAAATAGATAGCTTTCAAAAAGCATCAAAAAACCAAAAAACCATACAAAATTCGCTTTATCAAATAATTATAGATTTTCATAGATAATAAAAATATAAATAATAATATAATAATATCTTTATTATCTATGATTTTAGCCGATGTTATACTGATAAGTGTTATCATAATACATTTTTTTTATGTATTACATAATACTTTTGCATAATCGCATACATATTATTAATTAATTTATAAAATTATTATATTGTGTAAAATTACATTTAATATTCAACACTTCAATAACCTTTTTGAAAATAAAACCACAAAATTAATAATAGTGGAAATACTAACAGGCATAGCCACAATTTAAATTTTTTCTTTGGGTGGGGGGTTGGGGGAGGCTTGGGAAAATGTACAGTATATTATATATTTTACGTCCTAGACGATAAGCCCCCCCCCAATTTGCGCCTATGCTAATAGGTGCAATGACCATACAGAAAACTATGTTCTAACATTTTGTTATTAAACAAATTGCCCAATTAACATTATTTCACAAAAAAAACCGGTCAAGTGCGAGTTGGACTCGCGCACCGAGGGTTCCGTACAAACCTGTAGGTATATAAGTAAAAGTTCAACCAACACGACAATCGAGTTGCGAGTTTCAAAGTATAAGGTATAAATTGCTGTACATTTGCGTTAACTTAGAAATTTGTTTTATTTTCACAGCTTAATGGCAATTAAACTTAAGTATTTAATATAAGTTTCAACTTGATATGTCTACGCATTCATGAGGAAAAGGATAATAAGTTTAAAATTATTTGAAAAAAAAAAAAATATGTGATCTAACTAAAAATTTAAGGTTTTCGGAATTTTTCTGTTATATGTGCGATAAAACATTGCTTCATGCCGAATTTCGAGATTCAAAATCGACTTGAAGTACCCTATAGGTTTTGATTCCCTCGCAAGTAGTCGCGAGTTTGAAAATATGCGGCTTAAATTGTTATTATTTCTTTCGATTGCGTTGACATAAAAGTTTGATTTTGTTACAGTTTAAAGGTATTATAGACTTAAGTATTTAATATGAATTTTAATTTAATAACTCAACGCGTTCATGAGATAAGAAGTAGTAACTTTGAAATTTTCAAAATTGTCAAAAATATTTTATTTTTATATGATGAAACTAAAAATTTATGGTTTTCGTTATTTTTCCTATATCTGTACTTCGTACGAAATTTCAAGATTCTAAGTTCACGGGAAGTACCTACCCTGTAGGTTTTGATTCCCGTGCGAGTTTCGAAAATTTGCGGAAATTTGCGGCCTAAATGGCTGTATCTTTTGATTGCGTTGGCTTAGAAGGTCGATTTTTCTACAGCTTCCAGGGACAGTAGACCTGAGTATCATATAGAAATTTCAGTTTGATACCTCCACGCGTTCCTGAGAAAAACGGTCTTGACAGACGGACAACAAAGTGATCCTATAAGGGTTCCGTTTTTTTCTTTTGAGGTACGGAACCCTAAAAATAGGTAGGTAGGTACAGTGCCGCAATTACACATTATGGGGCTGATGTGTAAATCTTAATTTGGGGCCTAAATATACAAAATGTAAATAAATTATTATATTAAGGGGGCTGATGTGCAATGTACACCTTGCACACTCAGTAGTCAGTATACAAAGCAAAAATGACTTATAAAAATAAAAATTAACTAATAGGTATATAATTACCGCTATAAATTAACAGCTCTGAAGGCTGAAGAGTTAAGGCTGGCGACAGATCTAAGGCTGCATTTATTCAAACTTAATACGCTGTCTCTGACCTCTGTTGTTATGTACTACGGCAAGGATATGTATCCAACCATTAGAACATCATGTCTCCCCTTTGCACAAATATGTTTTTTTCAACTGGTATTTCTTAAAAAAGTTAGTACAAAAATGAGATGGTAAGAAACGGCAATTTAATTTGTGTTTCTTGTCAGCTTGAACATTTATATTCAAATGTATGTCCTTAATATCACTTAAATTTAATTTTAGATGAACTGCAATTGATTAAAAAATGCCACCTAAAATTATTATTTTTAATAATAATCATAAAAAGAATAAAATAGTCAAATATGCATGATAAATTCAGAGCTATACTGTTACACCTAAAGAGCCTATATAGGCTCTCTAGTTACACCTAACTGCAAAGTGCAGACCATAGATGTATGAATTATAATATTTATATGTCTTTGAATAATTGATTAATATGTTGTCTACACTAAAAAGTTACTTTCTTAACAAGTAACAATACTGTTATTTATATTTTACACAATTGGGAAGATTAAAGATGTCCCCCTTAGCATTAATTAACTTAAATTACAACATAAATTATATACAATTTAAATAAAGTAAGCATAGGTACCTATTCAAAGAATGATGATATAAAATCATGGAAATAAATACCACAAAATATTTTACATAAGTATTACATATTTACTTTACAAATGATTAATTAAAACGAAAATGTATAAAGTTATTACCATAGGGACATTAGTACACGGTACCAGAAATTGTCATAATATAATATTAATGATGTTAACATTGTTGACATTGTCTGTTTTAGTTTTAATATCAATAGTGACTAGTTGCACAACTTACCCGTGTGTAAAGAATTATATAATAAGATAATACAATTTATCCATCTTGTTTAATTATTGTTTCTAACAATGTATCATAGAAATTGTGTCTAATTTGTATACCCTGAACTACAAACAATTATGTATTTTTATGTTTGAGCATAAGTACTCAGTACATAGTTACTCAATACTCATATTACTATATAATAGTTGATGCGGGATTGTGATCCCCAAAAGGAGAACCAAATTTAATAAGTTGTATCCACTGTTTGTTTTTTGCAAAATGTGTCTGGTTAAAAATTAATTTATATGTTTTTGGTACTAACTAAATTTATTTTAAAAACTACATTGACAGTGTAAAATTTAATGATTTTGTTATATAATAATATTGTATTTAGATATACCTATGTTATAATATATAAAATATAAATTAATAAATTTAAAAATATTGTTAATTTAATTTTATTGTATATTTATATATTATAATTATTTTTAGTTCTGTCTTGAACCCCACCAATACACCATAGCCAAAGTCTTTAGTGAGTAGATCAACCGTTAACCTTGTAATATTGCATGTACCTAATCGCAATTATATCAAATTGTTGTTGGTAATAAATAAATATTAAATATAGATGAAAAGTTATAGCCAGTAAAAAAAAAAATCAATTCTATCCACCCACCCACTACATTTTATCTCTAGTTTCCCAATATGTATATTATTAATCATTGGTGTTTGTTATCTGTTAATAATAAGTTAAAATTCAATACAATATCTATTTTTAGATCTATGATTTGTTGGTTTATTTAAATTCAGTAAAAATGAAAACATTTAATGGATAGTGTTATCATTTTTTATTTTTTATTTTAATTCCAATTCACTAGTTATTGTACTCTATTTAACTTTTAAAATGGATCACAGAGAACACGGAGGTTACTACTATAAAATAAACAAAACTCGTGGTGACAAACTGTAAGTACTTAATTAAAGTATAAGGTATAATATAAGTATATTGACTTTTTCACTAAATATAGTATTATAGGTAGGTATAAGAAGATATAATTTATAAATAATGAATATATCCATTACAGTTACTTAAAATGTGCCACACCCAACGTGTACTGCAAAGGTAGTGCAATTAAAAATGGAAATGGTCCTATAGTTCCAAAAAAGACCCATAGCCACGATGCCTATGGCCCGGAATATCATGAACTAGAGACGAAAAACATCTTTCGGTCCACATTAGTTGAGAGAGCTAGATCAGAAACTATAGAACTTAAAGTCATCTATGATCAAGAAGCAATAAGGTATGAATAACTATTAGTTTTTAGAATTAATTGTATATGCTAAAAATATGTAGATAAATAAAGGGGTTTCACTTTTAACTCAAGTTCAACCACCTAGGATAGATGATCCCTTCTACATGATAGATCCGTCATACCTTTCTCGATATAGTTTATATTAAATCATATTATTTTAATTTTCCAGTAACATATTTAAAATAACAAAACCCATGTAATGCAAAGTTCTGATGGACCCCCAGCCCAAAAGCATACATCCATATTATTAAATTAATAGAATGCCACAAATTTTTGTTTATTTTTTCTACTGAAAATGTTTGGTAAATTGTAGAATGCAAAAATTATATTATAAAAACCCAGAAACTAAATGTATCAATTTAAGCAAAAGTGAAGTCGCAAAAATATATTAATTTGCATGCTATCTTTAAACTATTTTGTTATAATATAATGTCAAAATCATTTTTTTATTTTATAAATATGAATATAGGCTTATTTATAAATATAATTTTAATATACTTGTAGAAATGATTTTACTTATGTATTATATTTGTGATACAATTTTTGGTTAATTTAACAGAAATCCACATGCAGCTGGTATTTATAGTTGGCCAACTGCAGAGTCGTCAATGCGCTATGCTAGAAGATCAACATTACCGCCCCTACCATCCACATTACGTGAATTAAGTGAATTTTTAGACATGAATGTAGATAGGTAAATATTATTTCAATTTCGATTAATTTAATTTGAGACTTCTATATTCTACAGCTAATGCTATGGCTATGGTTTTTTTTTTATAGATATCAATGTGATAACTCAAGGTTTTACCAGGAGTGGATGGTCGACAGATATGGAAAGTATAGTGTAATGTTTGCTTGCAATGATCTGATTAGTGCTGTAATTAACCAAGGCGCCAACGAACTGCATGCAGATGGGACATTTAAAGTCGTTCCATCAACTCCTCATTGTCGACAATTATTTATTATTCACTTGATCCTGCAAAATCACGTAAGATTAAACAATTATTTTGCACAATACTTAAAATTAATCAAAATATAAATGTCAATGTTTTTTTAGTCCATACCTGTATGTTATGTGCTGATGGAAGCTAAAACCGAAGCATCGTACAGAAAAGTATTGGAGAGATTTAAAATAAAATACCCAGAGGTTAGACCAGTCTCTATAATGATTGACTTCGAGACTGCCCTACGCCAAGTTTTTGTAGATACATATCCAGAAGCACACGTGTATTCATGCTGGTTCCATTATGTGCAGGTTTGAAATTTAAAATTCATTCTGAAGTTTCATATTGCATATATTTATTTTCATGTTCTCACTTTATGTCTTATGATGTACCTATTTTATGAAATTTAAATTTAATTTTAGAGTTTACAAAAAAACATTAGGAAAATGGGCTACTCCCGTTATATACAGCAGAATAGAGAGGCAAAAATGTGCCTAAAGATGTGTGCAGTTTTGGCTTTATTACCTGCACATCAAATTGAAATGGGGTTTCAAGAAATTAAAAACCATGCTCAAAATAATGGAGTATTATTACCAAGATTTTTCACTTATATGTCTAGGTGAATTATATTATACCTGTATAAATAGAAGAAACATTGTTATAAACTCTAGTTTTTGTTGAAGTATAATTTTTCTAATAACGCTTGCAATTTATTTGGTGATTTAGTTTTTGGCTTTCCATAAAAGGTCCCGAGTGTTTCTCAGTGTACGGTCAACCTCGCCGCACAAACAACAATGTTGAGAGTTTTCACTCCACTCTCCAGCAAACTTTTCAAGTTGCCCACCCAAATTTATGGAAAATGCTTGGTGAGTTTTTACTTTATTCTTACAAAATGTATGAAGCATGGGAGTACTCAATTACCTTAATGTTCAAACAACGTATATTTCATAGAACCTAAGAAATAACACAAAAAATTAATAAAATTTCATTCATCATAAATATTTTTTATTTTTTTATATATAATTAAGTTATGGGAGGAATAGAAAACTAAAAACAATATGAGTAGCATCATTTTTTTATTTTTTTAAGGAGTTCAAACGCCTGAACTAAATTTTATGATGCAGAAATATTTGTTTTTTTTATCCTAAAATAATAATATTTTTTAGTTCTCTTCATTTCATACTATTTATTTAATCAAACAAAATTGGTAATGAAATTTAGTGAATTAATTAATAATTTATAAGTGCTGACTACTTTATTAAAAATAAATTGCATTTAAACTTTAAAGTACCAAAATTGATTAAATAAAATAATTAATTTCAATTTTAGATCACCTCAAAACTATTGCGGTGAAACAACACATTGTTGTCACTCAACTGGCAGCAGGGTTAACAACCAGTAGAAGTGTGAAGTTCAAATATATTTTGAACTCTATGCGTATCAAAAATTCTACAGCTTTACTGAGTACTGGGGCTATTACAGTAAAGGAATTTTTGATACAATGCTCTCACTGCACCGATAGGTATTTATCCACAGAGCTAAATTGGCACGATGCTACTGACGGTAAGTGAATTGAGCAACCTTTGATCAATTCTTTCCAATATCTAATAAACTAAAACAAAATTTAAATAAATAAAATAAAATGTTAATTAACGCAAAAACATTTATAGTAAATACTAATCATACTATTAAGTTTTGATTAATTTTATATATTTAAGAATCCTATGAAGTACACCTAACCTAACCTATGAATGAATAATTTTGTTCATGCAAAATGAACTGTGAAAATGTATCATATAAATTACCTTCTTACCTATGTATACATTTTATATTTTCTAAATGACAAATAAAATGTTTATGCCATAATTTATTATAAATATTAATTATTAATAGTTAACAAAAATTACATTATATACTTACATTATTGCAAACAACAATATTGATTTAATTATTTGTGATTGTTATAATAGATTCTGAAGATGAGATTCAGAATAATGATGGTATATTAAATGCACCCATTCCAGCCGTAGAAGATGCTGCAGGTGTAGTAGATCCACAATTTATGGTCATTGCTGAAGATTTAGTTCCAGTAGCTGAAAATAATATTGAGCCAGTAGTCAATGTTATAGAAGGTAATATCTACATAAAAGACTTCTAAAATAATATTTTTAAATTATTATTATTTGTAATTTGATTATATAGGTACCTACTTACCAATAATAAAGTAGATAGGCACCTCTATCAAAAAAAAAAAAATTTTTAACTAGTAAATTATAACTAAATCATTTATTTATTACTAGATTATGATGATATGGACTTCATCATTCCCGAAGATGGAGAATTGAATATATGGCAACAATTTAGAAATGACGCTGATGAGGAAGAAGAAATTACTTTTGTAGAAGTTCCTCGAAATCTCTATGAACTCTATCCCCCTGTCGATGAAACAAATATTTGTATTGTGTGCAGAATGGAAGAGAGGACACATGCACTTATTCCTTGTGGGCATAGAGTGTTGTGTGTGGATTGTGTAACCCAGTTACAAGCACAACGTTGCCCACTATGTAATTCTGATTTTGATATGGTATTACGTATCTGGTGACTGGTAGAATTACTTACATAAGGGGTGGCAAGGAGCCTATAAAAACTTTTACAGACATTAATTTTTGTTATTAAGATTATATTAAGTATAAAAAAAACATTAAACATATTATGAGAAATAATAAAAATTTAATTTCATATATTATATATAAGTATTATATCATATAATATAATATAATATATCTTAGAGCCTTACAAATAAAAAAATGTATTCATTTTTTTGTAGGTTAGGTTAGCCTAACTTACCTACTTGCAAAATATTATGTTAATTTTAGTAGATAAAATACAATGCTTACCTACCTTATTCCTCAGACAGTTGTAACTTATTGATTGAACACGTTGTAAGATCCAAAATCAAATGTCTAATGAGTATGGTCTACACAGTCTACTATATTATGATCAATTATCAGTAGACAGTAACATTCATTTGGTATGATGACAAAATAACAAGTGAACATTAGGTATAGAGGTACCATATTACATAATATTATAACAGCTGATTAGAAATATTAAATAGGTACTAGTAATAACTAATTATAATAATCAATGGATATTGTATATAGAAATGTATATATAGAATTTAGATATTATGAGATGGTAGGTATTTACCTTAATTATAGAAATCTATAAATTACTTTATCTTTCTGGGGTAGTTACCTACCTGGTATTCCACAACTAATATTTATAATTACCTACTGGCTACTATAATAATAATAATACCTAATGGCTAATAATAATAACAATAATAATTGAAAAATAAATCAATTATATTTGCATACCTATAAAAATTGTAATTTGTATATTTAAAATAGATTTTTATTTTCTTACAGCATTGTATAATAAAATATGGTAAATAATATATTATATAACCATATTTTTACCTTGCGTTAAATTTTCATAACATTTAATACAATTATACAAAAACCTTATAATCCAAAATATACATATAAGAGCAATATATATATAATAGGTACCTAATTAATAGGTGCCTAGGTACTTATACCTACACCTACGTCATACTAAGTACCTACTACCTACATAATATTTCTTCATCAAGCAAATTATGTAAAAAAAACTTTGGTACTTTTTAACTAGTACCTACCTAACCATAAAATTTAACGCATTTATAATTTAAGTATAATATAACTTACTCACTAATCAATATGAGTGGCCTACCTATCAATGGTTCAGTTGATCATTATTTTTTTAATTCATCATTCAAATACAAACCTAAGTTACTATGCTTACTGGTAAACTAAAATAATTAGGTATATTAAATTAATTGAGTATCAACTGCTTTTCTTAATCTATTTTAATATTGTTATAAGATTTCTTATAAACTTTTATATAGATAATTTTTAAATTTTCTTTGTTTTTACTAATGTTAGTTACTAAAACTTTTAGAGGATATCAGAAATATATTACACACACCATTTTAGGATTTTTAAATGGGATAGGAAATTAAAATAGTCAATAGGTACCTATTAATTTAAGCAAGCTAATAAGAACCAATATAGGTAGGTACATAAACAATATTAAAAACTGAAATAGGTATTTTAACTTTTAAGACAACAATTATAACAAGTTCCACAAAATTTGTTAAATGTGTGTTCATACAAAACAAACGAAAACATTTTGGATTCATAAGCAAATAAATTATATAATTTGTAGAAGTCAACAATCAACATTCACCTAGTTTTAATTTATTAATGTATTTTTCAGAACTATGAAAAATTCTAATACATGACCTGTATGGGTTATCCCTGTAATATTATCCCTTTAAGCTACAAAGGTGAATTGATTTTCATTTTAGATTCTGAGTGAAACGATGAATGTATTGATTTTACAATGATGTGTGTTTTTATATTTTAGATTCTGAGTGGAACGATGAATGTATTGATTTTACAATGATGTGTGTTTTTATATTTTTTTTTTATTTTTTTTTTTTTTGTGTCTGTGTACACGATAAGTAGTCGAATAATGCTTCGATTTTCGACTTCAATATCTTGTTCGATTGAAAAGTGAATATCGTTGGTGCATTGGGAGGTCAAAATTTAAAATTCCCAGTAATTTTCAAAAGCGCAAAGAAAAACAAAAGAAAAATTAAGGAAAACGGGAATTTTTACGCAAAATCGATTTTTCAGAAAATTGAATTTGGTTTTTGGTGTAACTTTAAACAAATGACCGTAGATTCATGAAATTTTCACTGGTTGTTTATATTTGCATTTTATATACACGATAACATTTTCAAAATATTTTGATTAATTTTGAACTGTTTAAGGACATTTTCATTTTTCATTTTTTTTCTAGAAATATCAATAAAATTTTATTTATTGGTTAAAAAAACTTGAAAATTTAATAGAAGGCTACTAGTATATTGTTTCAAAGGCAGTTGAAAATATTAAAAATCGTTAGTCACAGTTTTTTTTTATAAGCAATTAAAGTTCAAAAATTGACAAAATATCGAAAAATCACCAAAATTAGCTAATTATTTTGAGTTAAGAATTCGTAAAAATTTTTCTTTTTAAATCTAATATTTGAAAATGTAATACAAGATTCCTTATAAGATTATCTACCTTTATCAATAAAAAAATCTCTACCGGACAGTCAGATTAAATTTTTATGAGCGTTTGAAATTAAAATTTTTACAACATTGGATATTCACTCGATTTCTCATGTAGCGATTTCCTTATTTTGTTGTAATTCAAAAACGAACAACTGTAGATACATGAAAATTTCACTGAATGTTTAAATTAGCATTTTCTATACACCATACAATTTTGAAAATATTTTGACTCTTTTTGAGCTATTTACGGACATTTTCAGTTTTCAATTTTTTTTAGTTTTTTTTCTATAAATATCAATAAAGTTTTATCTGTTGGGCCAAAAAGTGTAAAAATGTATGCAAGGCTCCTGATATATTGTTACAATATCAGTTGAAAAATATTAAAATATATAGGTACAGTTTTTTTTTTTATAAGCATTTAAAGATCGAATTGACAAAATTTATCAAAATCTCGAAAATTATCAATCATTGTAATTAATAAATTATAAAATGTTCAGTTTTTATAGCTAAGGATTGCAAATTTAAAACAAAGGTTCTCATAAATAGTTCATACTGTAACCAAAAAAATCTAAAAAATATATGAACACAGTTATTTTTTACAGACATTTTAAATTCAAATTTGGACGAAATTACATATTAAAAAACCTAGAATAACTATTTTAGTTATTTGTTGTGATTGAATAATATTATTCGTGGGTACTTGAAACTTCTAAAGTGTACTATTATATATCAATGATAGTATCAGGGTTTGTTATTGATGTATAACGTGTTATAAGCACCTAATGGATATTGTGATATGATTAATTTGGAATTTATTATAGCCTATAGGTACTTACCTATTATAGGTCAAATTTTGGTTTAGTACCATAGATTTGTATATAATATGTCTTATACCTAGACTGACATACCGTCTCCGCTCAGAATCGTTTTTCTTATACAATGATATTATATCGTTGAATTCAAATTTAATATCATCCATTATACAGTGACCCACTTGTAACCTACTGTAAAGCAGAGCGACACCCACTTGCCCACCTTTTTTTTATATACATTACCTACGATTAAGATCAATAGAATATTTTCGTAAACTAGTAGTACAATCGTTGGTTGCACAATATATTATAAATTATATAATTCAAAAAGAATTACTAATTTTTGGAATCAAATCCGATATGTTCGAATTATTGATGAATTGCAATCACCACTAAATACTAATCCACAAGTAACAACAGATTCCTACCAATAAATTAATAACGGTGAAAATGTCGGGTTATAAGTGGTCAATCAATGTTTCGGATTATTTTCGGCTAAAATATTTTTCAATTATTTACAGTTCTAATAAAATATTTTTCGTATGGTACAGTAGAATGTCACTGCAAACGTGACTGATATTGACTATTGACTATTTAGGAACATGAAAATTAATTAATGAATGTATAATAATTCAGGAGAAAATATGAAACCATTTACAATAGTTTAGAAAAAAACATTTATCGCTATTCACTATATCAGTATATACTTACGTCATCTAACAAGAGAATCCAAGCTAAGTTATAATGTTATACATTACTCATGAAAAATTATGCATGAGAGATGTGCTTTTTAAATTTGTTAAATATTATAAATTT